GCAGCAACAGGAGAACTGGGACTATTGCTTTAGACCAGGGTGGGCAAACTATGGAGAGAGCAAATTAGGCCTAAGGCCTGTTTTTCTATGGCCCTTGAGCTAATAATGTTTCTTATATTTTAAAAATAGAGTTTTATTGTATTAAGAAATGCAAAAACCTTTCTTAGCTCAATGGTGGCACAAAAACTAATCTTATTATCTTCAAGCAGACACATAGTTTTATTTAGAGGACTCTAAAGAATCAACAAAAAAACCCGGAAACAATAAACAACTTTAGCAAAGTTGCAGAATATAAAATAAACCCACATACATTATCAGCATTTCTGTATACCACCAACAAAACCCACCAGCAAGAGAAATTCCATTTAAAATACCTGCAGATAATATTAAATACTTACCAAGACAAATCCAAGAATTATAAAACACAATTACAGAACAATTTTCACAGAAATAAAGACAGATTTAAATAATTAGAGAAACATTAATTGCTCATGGGTAGGCCAAGCCAATATAATAAAAATGACAATTCTACCTAAGTTAATTTACTTATTCAATGACATATAACTCAACCTATCAAAGAATTATTTTATAGAGTTGAAAAAATAGTAATAAAATTTGTCTGGAAGAAACAAAGGTCAAGAATATCAAGGGAATCAATGAAAAAATGTGAAGGAAGGTGATACATTTTTGAGTATATACCTATTATATATATATATATATATTTATTTACAAATTATACATATATGTTATACTGTACTGGTATATTACATACTTTATAAATTATACACAAAATTTAAAAAGATAAAAATCAAATAAGCATTAAAATAATTTTATTTAATGATACAAAAAACCTTTTTGATCTTACTAAAAAAATTACTATTAATGAAATATTACTATTTCTACCTTGACAACACTTCTTGCCTCTGGCCCTTTCTCTCTACTCACATAGTCACCACTTCAATTATCACTTCTCAATGAGATTACTGGAACAGTCTCTTAACTGTTCTCCCTGTCTCAAATCTCTCACAACTCCAGCCCATTTTACACAGGGCTGCCAAAGTAATTTTCTTAAGAATAGATTTGCCCATAGGACTCACTGCTCAACCAAACCCAGTGGCCTCCCATTGCTTCTAGCGTAGAATGTAAATTCTTTTTTTTAGCTTTTAAGGTTCTACACAAGCTCACCCCACCCTACCTTTCCAGGCTCATTGGACATTATTCTTTGACTTGAACACTTTAATGCAGCCATACTGGTCTTCTCTCTGCTCCTTACCAACAGTATTCCAACTACTACATCTATGCTGGGCAGGCTGCTTGAGTCTGCCCTTTCTTTAGTTCAGCTTCCAACTTCTAAGGAAAATTTTTCTTTGAATCAACAGTTGGCTACCTTTTTTGTTACTAGAGTTTGCTCTGCCTTCACCCCTGTTGCCTTGTGTACACTTAGAAAGAAGTCTCTTGCTGGGGTCTTTGCTACTGTTAGCTACTTTTGTTGTTGTTCAGTTGTTTTTTCAGTCAGGTCCAGTACACGTCAGGGCACAGCATAGTCTATGTTATTCAAATTTCCTTTCTTTTGTAATTGAAGATCTTTTTCCTAGTGACTTGCAGAACTTAGTGTTTCTGAATTGAACTGTTAAATTTTAACCACCATGTATATTTGACTGTACATCCCTGGGTTTTTTTTTTCTAGTGGTGATCTATTAATTTTTAAAACTGATGTTTCATTTTCATTGTTCAGAAGGTCTGGGCAGTTCTCTTCTGTTATTTCTTGCATTATGGTGTTCAGGTTTTTTGTGTAGTGTTCTTCTGCAAGACCCATAATCCTTAGGTCGTTTCTATGGATTTCATCTTTGAGATCAGTATATTTTGATTGGACGAAGAGCAAATATTCTTTTAATGTTTTTTTTTGCTACTTTTGTTCTAGATTGTCCTTTACTTATGTTTATTTGCATTCCCAATCCATTGTTATCCCTTTTGTTTCTTTGGTGAGACTTGTGGTCCAAATCAAAGTTTTCTATTGTTCCGATTATTTTTGCTAAGTAGGCCACAAATTCTGCTCTGACAATCCTCATGTCTCTTGTAAACCACAAAGGAACACTATCATGCGGTTCCACGTTCTCCTTAAATTCCCCAGAGTCCTGTGTCTCATCAAATGTGGGGATCATTTTCCTTTGTTTTGCAGTATTTATTATATCTGGAGGCCATGTTCCTTCTACTGTTAATGTTTCAAAGACTTCTGTTTGAGTTTTCTTCTTCGTGAGATCTTTGGTTGTTTTAGTCTTTTTTCCTTATTTCCTCTGATTGCTCACTTTCTCAATCCTTCTCTTTGATGATGATTTCCTTGAAGGCTGTACCTCAAAGCCCATTCACAGCTCACTAGCCTAGAGCTCTTCCCCAAGTCACTTTTGGGGTGGCTGTATGAGGAGCTTTTCCCCTCAGGCTTAGTGGAGTGCAGCATAGAACTCCTCTCCCCACTTCTCCTCCACATACACGTGGTGTCCTGTCCTGCTCCCTTTGCTTCTTAGTCTCTGGCCTGGCAGTTCAGAGCATGGCCACCCTGGTGCCACTGCTGTCAGTGGTGATTTTTGTCATTTGGAATTTGGGTCTCTGAGATTCTGGAATCAGGTGAAATATGGAGTTGAGCTCTATTTTAAGACCAGGCATCTATCTTACCCCTTCTGTTTCTCCTCTTCCCTAAAGAGTAGCACAGTATGCTGCTGCTGACTTTGGACACCAAGGCCTCAGCAAATTTCCAAAGCCTGAAGCTCAGATCTCCAGGGCACTGGAAAGAAGAGTGATGGTGGTGGTGATAAGGGGCTGGATTTGGTGAACCTACTTTTTACCTTATGCCCCTGACTTAAGCCCACAAACATCACTACACCAACACGTATTATTTTACCATCACCACATATTACTACAGGAAAGAGATTTACTGACCTTACTGGCTCCACTGGCGGGTGCTTTGCTTAGTTGAACCAACTCAAGGGGTTCTCAATGCCAATTCTTATTGAGTATCCTTCTGCTACAGCTAAGTCAAGCTCCTTTGTTAACTGTTGAATTTGTTTCTAAATAAAACCTAAATTACTAAGGAACTTGTCTGTGTCCCACCCCATCTAGAATAATTATTTGTATTTGTTGAGTGTATAACCTAAAAGAATTTGTCTTAACTTTCTGTTTCTATAGAGATCTTCTGGGCTAAAGGAAATGATTCAAAGGAGGCTGATGGAGGAAATCTTGAGATTCTGGTCTTGGAAAAGGACTGCTTTTCCCTCTCTGGAGGTCACAATGATCCTTTTGGAAATGGGGATAAGAGCAGCACATCAAACTAAAAGCACACTGTCTGCACTTTGGATTGTTTCTCTTCCACACTTCACTTATTTTCCTATTTGAACATCTTGAGATGAAATGACCATGCCAGGGGTGAGATAGAGGTTCAGGCTATAAGAGGATGAACAGAAATCATGATTGAAGGGTGAAGCAGATAGGTCCCCATCTAGGCAGTTACCAGTGGACTCCATGCCATTGTAAGCACTGTCCAAAATAAACTAATGACTTGCAAACACTATAAATCTTCTAGCTGATGAGCAGGAGGGAGCTTTATTTCTCCACTTTACTTTAAGCTATGAGCCTGAGATATATCATACACTCAGAGAACATTCCCAACTGTATCAGAAGCTTAGGAAGGAGTAGGTACAATGGGAAGAGTTTATATTTCTTTTGCATTTTAATTCTATGTTGTAAAAGTATATGATCACAACATACATACATTTCTGAATGTATAAGTGCCAAGAGACCTGAGAAGGTAAAATATTCCACAGAATATTCCAAAGAACTGAAGCTATACATTGTAGATTCCATATTTTAAACATTTAATATTTCATCTTCTATATTAAAATGGAACCTGGGATTTAGAGGGAAATGATGAATTTAGCAAGGTGCCATAATGGGGGAAAGAGGGGGAACCACCTGGATTTGTTTATACTGTTAGTTTGCCAATGTCCAGGTGTGGAAGTCCTAGAGGAATAGCTTGTATAGAGTCTGATCTAACTCAGATATTGTACTCTGAGAAAATTCAAAACCTTTGGCTGGATTTTTATGTTTCCTCACATATGAGCTAGTATTCCTAGTAAGCCACACCTTTGGTATATGCTTATTCTCCCCTTGCATTTCTCCCAGGTACTTACATCACATATAGGGAATGTAGTAAGAAGGCCACAAATGTTCACAATTTTAAAAATGTTTATGTAAGATATATACAAACTTTTAAAGACATCTCTTTCATTCTCGGTTTCAGTTTTGACCACTTCCAGGTTGTAATGCTTTCTCATCCTGGAACTTCATCAGTTTCTCTTCTCAAAGCCAGACTGAGAGGAGGCTCCAGGGAAGGTTTGGTCTTGACAAAGGACACTCACTATAGGGAGTTCTGAGCAAGGAAGGCCTGGCTTCCCGAGGGCCACTGAAGGGGCGATGTGGAAAGACTGGCTTTGAGAAGGAGCACCAAGAGAGAGTTGAAGGGCTGGCACTGAGTAGGGGTATGGAGGGTTGGTCCTGAGAAGGGGGCATCACAGGGAATTGACAAAGAATTGTCATTGAGGGGGAGTGCTGAAGAAGGGCTGGCATTCTGAGAAGGGGATCCTGAGGGAGAGCTGGTTTTGAGAGCAGAATTGGGGGTTGAAGGTCTGACTTTGAGAAGGGGTCATTAAAGGGGTCCAGGGATGGCTTGACATGAGGGTGGTGCTAAGGAAGGTCTGATTTTGAGTGGGGTCTCCCGGGTTGCAGTGAAATTGGAAGGGGGTGTTTGCTAGGGAAGGGATAGTCTCGCGTTGGGGCTGCATGGGAAGAGGATTTAGAGGGCTATCTGAGGGTAGTCAGGCTGTCCTCGAGCGAGCAGTGGGCGCGTGCCGGGGGCGCGAAGCGCATGCGCGCCCCTCCCCCCCCCCGCGAGAGTCACGTGCTGAGCCCCCCTTTCTCCCTCTCTCCTCCTCCTCCCCGGCCGGCTGGGTTCTGTGAAGACGCCAAGATGGCGGCGAGCAACTATTACGGTTTCGCGCCAGGTGCCGGCCCGCAGTACAGGTACCTCCCCGCCCCGCCGCCCCTTCTCCCCGCGCCCCTCCGGGAGCGCCGGCCTTCTCGGGTCCGGCCTTCTCCGTCTCCAGGTGCCGGCGCCTCAGAATGTAGCCGGACCGGGACTGTGGCGTGTGGCGGGGGGGGAGCTGGAGGCGGCGCTGCGGGCCCGGGGAGGCTGAGGCTTCCTGGCCCGGCCCCAGCCACTCGGTCCTCTTCCCCTCGGGGGCCTTGGGCCGGCTCCGGCCGCAGCAAAGTTGGCGGGGAGTGTGGATGGGGGGGTAGAGGGGGTGCGGGGCCAGAGCTCGGGTGGGGGCGGCGGTGTATAGATAGAGGACGTGCGGGGGGGGCAGAGCTCAGGATGCGCGACTATAGATAGGGATGCGGGATGGGGCAGAGCCTGGGATGGGGTGCGAAGGGAAAGTAGAGGGAGTGTGGGGCAGAGTCCAGGATGGGGGGGTAGAACGAGCAAGTGCGAGGGGCAGGATAGGTAGAAGGGATGTAGAGAGTGGGCAGAGGGAGCAGGGAGAAGAACGCATAGAGAAGGTTGGGGGGGACACACAGAGTCCTGGAAGGGAAAGGTAGATGTAAGAGGTTCTGAGGGCAGGATAGATAGAGGGGATGGGGATATAGCTCAGGATGAGGGAAGCATATATAGAGAATAGGGGGTGCAGAGCCCGAGATGGGAAAGATAGAGGGGTGCAGGAGGCAAATCCTGGAATGGGGGGAGGGGGGAGGATAAAGGGTGAGGGACAGTGTAGGACCTGGGAAAGGATGTTTAGACAGGGTGGGGGAAGCAGACTCTGGATTGAGGGGAGGATAGAAGGGATGCTGGGGGGTGGGGGGAGGAGAGTGTGTGAGCGGCGGTTCAGGGGATGGTTGGGAGACTGGGGAGAGGAGGATTTGCAGGAGCAGCTCGGGATGGGAGGGATGGAAAGGGAGGATGCTGGAAACAGCGCTGGGGAGATGGGAGCTTCTGAGGACATGGGGAAGGATTGGGGGGCAACAGTGCTGGTAGGGAAGGATAGGATCTGGAGGTGTATTGGGGTGCTTTGGGGTTTGGGGAAATCTGCCGAGGGCTGTGGGCAGAGGTGCGTGGGAGGTAACTGCTAAGATGGAGGGGTAGAGCTGGGGCTGTGGGGGTGAAATGGAGGACCAAGTGTGTAGGTGTGTGGGCATAGCCAGGAATAGGAGTGCAGTTGAAGGATAGGTGAGTGGGATTGTGTGGGAAGCAGAGCTGGAGATTGAGGGGTGCCGCTGAAGGATGGGAAAGGGATGGGAGAAGGCTGGAGTGTGCTGCACGTGGGGCATTGGGGGTAGTTGTGGGTAAGGGGGGCAGTAGGGAAAAAGCTGTAGGAGGAACTGAGGGAGTAGTGTTACGAGTTTGGAATCCTGGGTAATGGAGAAATCTGGGACTAAAGAGATGAGGGCAGGGATCTGTGGGATAATTTGGAGGGGAGTGAGGATGGGGAAGTTAGGGATAAAGAAGGGATCAAGAATCTCCAGGTTGGGGAGCTGGTAGAAGGGTACCCAAGACTTGAGGAAGGAAAGGTGGGGGAATGGAGGAACTAGGGAGATATAGGGCACCAGGAATTTGGGGTACAGCTAGAGAGATGAAAGATCAGGGACCTGACAGAAGAGTGGAAAGAGAGGGCTTACTTGGGGGTAGAGTGGGGAAGGGTAAAGGTGGCTAGGAATTTGTCTGGGTGGACAGTGATTATGAACAGTGGAGGTGGTGGAGGGCAGGGAAACTAAAAACCTGGGCAAGAATGGGAAGTGGAGAGAAAGAACTCTGTAGAGAGCAGGTAATTTGGGGAGCTTGATAGGGAAGGGAGGCCCTTCCTAAGTATTAGACAATTTCTGGAGTATTTCTGCACACTCAGATTTCACAGGCCTCCCTTAGGAATGGTTGTCATTCTTCTCTCATTTTCGGTACCTGCCTTGGACAAGAGGGAAGATTTTCTCTTACCCACCCCCATGCCCCCAACCCCTATTTTTGGTTTCCACTGTGTTTCACCGGTAAGACATACCATTTACTGGTGTCTCTCTCCCCCCACTCCCAGTTTGGATGCTTCACATCTTTGCATTTTTTAGTTTACCACATATGTATCAGTGGCCCATTCCCAGATGATAGAAATGACTGCTATTGGTTACCAAATACTTTAGGTTCTTGCTCTTTCCATTATGATCAATGCAGTATTTGCATGTCTCCACCTACTGTATTTTGTTGATAGGGATCTGATAGCTGATTAGCCCCATCATGTAGTTTATAACAGTCTTTTACAATGCCATTTTTCCAACCTTGGGCGCTTTTTTTTTTGTTATTAAGGAAGCATAGGCTAAACAAACCTGGATTTGGGGACAATAATTCAGAGCAATGTCAATGTACTTATTTGATATATACAACACTTCAGGAATTATATTTTCCTGCAGCTGCTGGTAACAGATTTTATGAGGAAAGCTCTCCTGGCCTTCTGTTTTTCTTCAAACAGATTATTTCATTTTTGATGTTTCACTCACTTTTATTGTTATCACAAGGGTATGATCATTGTTAGTGTGGTTTTTTTTTTAAAGGAAGTTGGGTTGCCCAGTTATGTACCTTGTTAAACAGCAGAGAACTGCACCTGTGTACTCCAGTCAGCTGGTGGGGGGAGGGACGATGTGCTTGAATGTTGAGCTTTCTATCACAATTACCTGTTAGGGAAAAATTGAGTTTGACTTGTTTTAAACTGTTTAAAGTGATTGCTGAATTTTAGTAAATCTCTTTGAACTAAGGTATTTGTAAAATGTTATTTATTGCAGCTGCATTTTTATGTTCTGAAATAGTTGATGAAATGTATCCCTAGCTGTGTATGTGAAAGTACTGTAAGTGGAGGGGTGCTAAGAACAGCAGGATTTTGGGTGTCTTTAAGAGCATCTGTAAGGTATAGCAACTTGTCATTTGAGAAAGAAATTCAGAGGAAAGTATGAAGGGAAAATTATGACACAGAACTTTGGCCTAAGAGAATTAATGTATTTTAGATTTGAAAGATATTAAGTAGAATAATATCTTTTAAGTTGTTGCTTGACTTCAGTTTCTTTAAAATGTGGATCTTCCATATTGTATACTTAGTTCAGAGAAAAATATGTATCATGAAAAAGAGAATTTGGTGGCAAATCTTCTTAAGTTGTCTCCTTAATTGAAGTATTTTAGCTAGCAATATTCACAAAGGATATTCTGTAAAGAGTGACAGTATTTTTGATATCCCTTCAGATTGTGCCTGCCCTACTTATTAGAATATTTCACAGATAGTTGTTTTACCATTAGTAAATAGGGAACTAATTTGAAACATTTCAGTCACTGATCAGCAAGATGTATTATACTGGAAGTCAGTAAGAAAATCTGAAAATAATTTAGGCAACATAGTTTTGATTACCATCTTGATTTTTCCCCCTTTGTTTCAACTATGTTTTTAAATAAAATGTCTTGTGAGCTTTAGTATTAATACCATAAGCCTTTAGAATTAAAGACTAATTGCATTTTGCAGAGTTTAATTCCACACTGTTTTAAATTGATATCAAACACTGGTTTGGGGCTTCAGTGAGTTGGAGAGAGTTGTCATGGAAGTCATATTACAATTCTGTATGTGCTTAAATTAGACTGGTGATCAAAATGTTGTAATACTAATATGTCATTTTGGAAGCATATTCTATTAGAAAGCAATAAACTATCCACAAAATAACATTTTTTTTTTGGCCTTGGTGATTTTGGAGATTGGCCCATCTGCAAGCTCTTTCTTGACATGGGCTTAAATCTGTATATAACCACTGCTATACTTTCATATAATATTTTATTCTAGTAAAGATGACCTTTAGTTTACAGGTCTTTAGTTTAAGAAACTTCATTTCTTTCATATTGAGGGTATTGAAGCTTAATGGTCTAGTTAGTATCTTATCAGCTGAGTAGCTTAACGCTTTAACCTATTAACCGTTGTATAATACTAGCTAGCTGAAGTCTGAGTTATCAGTGCTGAGTGGTAGTTGTGTGGTAGAAGTTTTCACTAGCAGTGAATAGGTAATGAACTCCTGAGGTCTAAGGTAGGCTTTTGTAGCACTAACCCCCAAGTATGCACTTCTACCCTCTCATAGTGAAGAGGCCAATAGCATTTGCAGCTTTGATCACAGCTGATGTTGTCAAGGATCATAGCTGTTCATTCTCTTCCAATGAAGGAACTTTCTTTATTTAAGAAAGGCCTAAGTCAATGTTCTTTACACTATCATACTGAATGAATATGCTTTTGTTTTAGTTGGATTAATTCTCATGCTCACCTAGATAGTGGTTTAATATGATATTTCCCATTGTATTCTCCAAACCTTAAAAATCCTCCTCAGAGCTGGGAAGCTGAAGAATATAAAGTAGGATGTCATCAGCATAGTAATGATAACCCCAGACCTGTCTCTCAAAAATCTCTCCCAAAGGCGATATATAGATACTGAAAAGCACCGGAGTCCAAACCGACCTGTGGGGAGCACCACATGCAATCCCAGTACTGGCAGATGGAAGATCACCTAACATCACCGATTGTGGGAGCGCTCTGTCAGGTATGACTGAAACCTGTTTAAAAACGGTCCTGGTCATACCCAGCCTGGCCTCCAGGTGGTGCAGTAAGGTCCGGTGATCCACACTATTTGACCTCCCTGGTGAGATGTAACACTTCAAAAAGAAGGTCTACCCGGTCCATTGTGGTGAGCAGGATAACCACATTTAAGGATAGTTTGGCATTAGTTGCTTGTGGGAAAAAAGAGAGCTTTCTGCAAATGGACTGCTTTCTGCTATTCCTAAAATTAACGGGGATAAGCACATTTGGTTAAAATATTGAGTAAACTTTTAATTAGGCTTACTGAATTAATTTACCAGATTACCCCCGGCCATATATTGTAGTGCAGGATCAGTTTGCATTTGAGTTCTGCTTATGTTTCCCAAAGGAGGACAATCAGAAAGCTGTTGAGAGTTGTTGGCAAGGAAATTC